CCCACCGGCTTTTGTTTTGTAGTTCTAACTGTTTATAGAGGGCTCTACTACATTTATTTTTATTATACCATATATGCATATCTAAAAACACTCTATAAATGCATTCCCATACAATATATATTATATATAATTGCTATACTATACGTATAATAATGATGACCACAACCCTTCGTGCACCCCAAACCTTAAACCCTGAACCTGTGCACCTATATATATATATATATATATATATATATATATATATATATAACCCCAAACCCCAAAGCCTCAAACGACGAAGCCCTGAACCCTAAAACCTTCAAGCCTCAAACCCTTAAGCTTGAACCCTAAACCCCTTCGGCTTGTCTTTTCTTCTGTGGGTGGAGCGAGGAGAACTACACGAAGTCCGAGGCGACCAACAAGAAGAAAACCCTGGGCAAAATCTTGCTTCAGGGGAAATTCAATCTTAGCAATGAGCAGTTCGAAGCCGCACTCGAGAGTGGCGAGATCATCGCTGTCCGTTCCAAGAACGGACCCGATCGTTACATGTGGTCCGAGGATGTGCACAACTCCACTTCAGGGAAGGAGAAGAAGTTTTCCATGGGCTCCGATGCCAAAGCGAAGGATGGCGAGGCCAAGTTCTTCGAGAAGCAGTCCAAGGATTGGAGGATTGGTTTGTTTGAGGAGAAGAGCGAGGGCAAAGCAAAGCCCCAGAGAGCTCTGACAAATGACTCAGAGCAGCTCGCAATCTGCGATGGTACCGTGGCCGCCAGCAGGAACATGACGGAGAAGCTGTGGAAGGCAGCAGATGGGCAGCTTACAAAGGCGATCGCGGCCTACAATAAGATCCTTGTCGAGGGCAGAAAGTTGGTTGCTTCCGTGGATGAGAAGCAGGACAAGGACATGTACCAGAGTGTGCGACTTGGACTGGTTTTGTATTCCTGAAACAACCTTGCCAAAAGCTTCAACTTTTTTATCCTCGCAAGTAAAGTCACCAATTTAACTCGTAAGTAAATACATGGAGGCTTCAACCTTTGTCTTCGCAAGTAAAGCACAAACTTTAACTCGTAAAAGTAGTCTCTTCAACAACAGTCGCATGTAACCAAAGTGTTGTGCTTTCTCTCGCAAGTAAACCCAGTGCCCGAACACCGAAACCTGTGTGAGACCCCACAGCTGTAAGGAAGAGCATCGTCCAACAAGCAACAAAATCGAAGCAGGGACTTGAGCACCTTCTCTCGTGGCACGAGTACGAGGATGAGAATGAGGACGGGCCGATCACGATCTCATCATATTCCAAGACCATGAGAGAGTCCGGGCGAGTAGCAACTCATCTCGAAGAACAAATGGCAGCCGTGAAAGCCAAGTTGACTGTCCGAGCCAAAAAAGGATGCTAGACAGATTTTGAATGTGTGCAGTTCCGGAGCTGTCGCCTCTATGTGGTGCAAACGGCGATTCTGAGTTTTGGCGATGAGAGAAAAAAGCAACGGCGATGATGAGAGCTTGAGATTTGGCGCTTTTCTGGTGATTTTTACATGTGAGCAACGACGTGTATAACTATAACCTTTTGAATCATGTTGGGGTGTTGGTCTTCGTGACTTTCAGCTTCAATTTTAGAGTATATATAACACCGATGGTGTTGTTGTAGCCTGCTTTGCATGTGTGAGTGCACACATGTGTAAAGCTATACCTCCGAACCTCAAGCATTGAATCAACCATGAAAGTCCATACCTCCAAAACCCTGTGAAGCTCACAACACAACCTTCGTAACCCCAAACCCTGAACCCTCTATAAACCCTTAAATCCTGAACCTTATATATAAACCCTCACAAGATTTGTTTCGTCCAGATTGAGGGGCAGTGGACCGTGTGGTTTAGGGGGTTTGGGTTTTGCGGGGTTGGGGCAAAAGCTTTCTGTTGTTGTTTGTATAGTATATTTGGTGCCCACACATATATGTATAACTTGCTCACAAGCCTCAGCCTCAATGCTCGGTGTGTCTGACCATGTGTGTCCCGTCCTTATAAAATGTTTTATGGCTATAGCGAACAAACCACTGTATGAAATAAGGCACAAAAGTTCAGCTGGCAACAAACACCAACTTTGCATAAAGGTGCTGTTCTGTTTATTTATATATGGAGAGAAGGTACCATGGAGGATGCAGGGCCCGAGCGAAAGCGACGAAAGGGTGGGGTCCAACAGAGATTGGGCCAGGCGGTGAGTGAGAAGTCCACCTCAAGTTCTTTGCACGATTTGCTGATGACGTATTTGGCACAAGGCCTCCTGTCGGCCTCTATGATTCATGCAATTGCAGTTGCAGCGGCTGCCGATATTAGAAATGCAAGGGACGGGAAAATTCTTCCTGATTTGGACAGGCTCAGCAAGGTGAAGCATGGAAAAAATTTGCAATCTTCTATTGACAACCACTTGGCCCAGCAGTCCAATCTTCCGATGCCGACAGAATTTAATATCCCCTTAGCAGGACAAGTCGAAGGCACGGCGACTTCCATGATATTGCTTCCGCACGAGATTATGCACCACCTTTGGAAGACGACGACTGGATGGATTACTTCTGTGTTGCCTGATGCGGAGGCTTTGCCTCGGTTTTGGAGATCGTTCAATGGACACCCTTGCATGTCAAATCATGCGGTAAAATCGCGAGCTAATTGGATGCAAAGGGCTATTCCCCTTTGCATACACGGCGACGAAGTTCCTGTTTTTGGAGTGGGCAAGATATGGGCTCGCAGTGTTTTGGCTTTTTCATGGGTATCGCTGATGGCCACAGCGGCCGGCCGATCTGCTGCCGATTGCAACCTCTACATTTGGGGCGTTTTTGAGAAGTTCATTATTCCGGCTGGCGGCGAGGGGGCTGGGACAATGGAAACTTTTTGGCAAGTGATGTATTGGTCTTTCAACATTCTTTACACCGGTAAATGGCCTGCTCGGGATTGGCAAGGCAAGAAGCAGCCTGGTGTGTTGTTGTATATGTACACATGTGCCAGAAATCTGGAAACCCTTACATTTTAGGACCCTGTGGGAACCCTATAAGCTGTAAGCCTTTTTGTCTTTCTTGATTTTTTATGATGTGGGTCCTGTTTTAGATATGTGACTATATACATACACACCCTATGTATGAGAGCCCTGTTCTCAAATCCAACCCTAACCCAACAGCTTCCTTGATGGTGATGATATATATATATATATACACAGTATATAATATCGTATAAACATATATAAGCCACAAAACCACGGACCCGTGGAATCCCAAAGCAGCACGAACCGGATGTGAGAAAAATCACCACACAGTATACGTAAAAAACCCTCTCACCACATGTAGATATATATATGTAGATATATATGAACCTGTCTCACAAGTAAGAAAATGTTTGTTACACGGCACAGAGGTATGGGGCCAGTACAAAGGAGGGCGAACGAGCGGGAACCGACCTATGCGGAGGATATTATGGTGTCCTGGTTCAAATGGCTGGCGACTTGGATTATTATGCGAAATGGCTGGAGGTTCCACGATGGAGCAATCACAGCAAACCTTGTGCTCTTTGTCGGGCCGCCTTCAAAGGACCACTAACATGGATGGACAATCGTGCAAATTCGCCGTGGCAAGCCTCGTGCCTCACCACCACCAACTGGAGATCCCACTGGAATCCATCATGCCAGCTGTATTCTTTACCTGGCTTTTCGGGACTTTGTATCACGATGGACTATATGCATTGTATGTTTTTGGGGTGGATACAGTTTTTTTATGGCTCCGTGCTCAGCATCGTGGTCCACGATTGTTTGGGTGGGAGTATCTTGGCGAATTTGAAATACTGCGACTCCTTCATCAAGAAGTACCAGCGAGACAACGAAACCAGATACACATTCCGCCAGCGACTTCTGAAACTTACAATGATACAACCAAAAAAAGGATTCCCCAAGATGAGAGGAAGAGCTTCCGATATTCAATCTTTGGACAGTGCAATTCTTGCTCTATTCGAAGAGCAAATGGACGAGGGTATCTATCAACACAAGCAAATCCGGCTCTTTTTGCGGTTGAACCTGCAGCTGGCTGAAATATTGGAAGCTTATGGGCCACGGTACGGCTTCTTGGCTTTACCTGAGGAGCAAGCAAACCTGGCTTTCAAGCTCGGTTGCCAAATGGCACAGCTCCACAGCAGCCTGCAAGCCCACTACAAAGGGACGGGGGAGAAGCTCTTCAATCTCACAAGTAAGACCCACTTCGTTTTGCATAGTCTCCTACTCAGCAGTTTTATTCATCCGTCGATGGTCTGGTGCTACAAGGGAGAGACGACGATGCATCGCCTGCAGATTCTATGGAAGAGTTGTTTGGCAGGGGTGAAGCACTGGCATGCTTCCAAAAAGGCTGCCCTCAAAGAGAGGCACCTTTTGTTTCTGCGGGGCAAAGTTGGGCGATCGTGAGAGCTTCTTTCTTTTCTGTCGCGAAAAAAAAGAGTGTCTCTCTGCTATATGTGGTGCTCCTGGTCTTTTGTTTGGGCTTTTGAATCACAGTTGTCGTATATACTGGTGTGGATCTTATAAGCAATCTGCATGGATTCTCTTTGGTTAGTTTATGGCTTTGGGCCTGCGAATTTTCGGAAAAGTCCTTACTTCTGCTGTGGATCCTTTACATGTGGTGTCTGCGATTGCAGAGCAAAACAAACTCATGCCGGTGATTTTTTTAAATCCTTTACATGTGGTGTCTAAGTTTGCAGCCGCAAATATGAGTTCCATGTTTGTGTTTGCATAATGTTTTTATGTGTTTTGTCATGTTTTTAGCTCACCAGAAAATTTACGTAAATTTGGTCATTTTACACTAAATCCTTCGTTTACAGTAAATCAAGCCAAAGTGTAAAATTAGGTAAACAGCAGACTCAGGGTCGGGTGATTCTGCTCGTTGCTGTCACGCCGTGGGTAAACTCTAAAATATCGAGATTGTATAGAAAACTCACGAAAAAGCTGAAACGCACCTGAAACGCACCTAGAAAATGCTGAAACGCACATAAACGACTCTAAAGGGTTCCCTGTGCTGGATTTTGGGGTTTAGGATTTAGGAAGCTATAGCCTAAGTGAATATTTACTACGGAATCCATACTAAAAACCAGAGATTTGTGGGCCAGGCCACGTTGTGGCGAGGTCGCAGCCAAGTCCAGAACGTCCACGGCGTCGTCGAAAAGGTGCACCCATCCGACCTGTGGGTTCTCCAGGTCCAGGCCGACGATGTCTCCGGCAGGGGAAGTCTGCAACTTGCCGGGCCAGACGAGAGCCGCTCGCTTGTAGCTGCGAACCACGTACAACGGTGGTCCAGTCGGAAACTGCAAGGCATGTCCCTCGGGAGCCAAGGCTGCCCACCATCCCTTCTCCACGAAGGACCAGTCCATGTTCTGCCGAACGACCTTGGTGAGCAGCGAGAACCCAGCCAGCTTGTCCTGTTCCGACTCAGGTGTGAGAGAGGCCCACGTCCTCGCTTGGCTAACGCCCTTCAGAAGGTCGTCCTCGAAGGTCTGGTCCGTGAGGCCCTCCTCCTGCTCCTCGCGAACGGCGGCCGACGAACTGCCCGGGTCCGTGCGGAGCCGCTGAGGCCGCACGAACCACGGGTCGGCGTCGAACTTCGCGGGCACGGTCGCCATCCGGCCACTCGGCACCTCTCTCCTGTGATACTGCTCCAGGAGCTTCTTTCTCGAGAGACCGTGCCAGCCCTCCAAACGACCCAACGTCTTCGAAGTGCCATTCCGCTGCTCGGCCTCACGTTGGACCTTGTTGGCGTCCTCCACGAGCTTCGAGTTCAGCAGGCCGCTCCACGAACGGCGAAGCCACTCGAACGTCCCCGGCGGAACCTCCACGAACGACGCCTCCCGCAACTCGGACAGCAACATGGCCATCACGGGCGCCGTGGCAGAGTGGCCGTCCAAGAGGAGCTTCGCTTCCAACGACCCCTCGGCCTGCACACGCTTGACCGTGCGATCCACCTCTTCCAGAAAGCGAAGGCTGGACTGTCGAAGGGCGGCAGACTCGTGCAGCAAGCCGGCCGATGCTCCCCAGCCGTTCGTGGACCCTAGCTGGCTGCCGCAACGATATCGCAAGAGACGGTGTGTCAGGCGAACGACTCTGTGAGCGACTGCATCCTGCCACGCCAGCGAGTCCTCTCGAACCTCCTCCTTTGGCAGCTCGAAGGACATGTCAAGGCCGATCCGCTTCAGAGCGGCCAGGTTGGACAGCTTGGCGACATGCTCGCGAGCGACCTCCATGTACTGCCAGTGAGCCCAGTTGGCATACTGGCTCACGGTGGCCTCGGCCGCCCGAAGGTCTGCGAGCATCGTGCTGCACCGAACGTTCTCCGGTTGAAGCACGAAAAACACGGACCTGGCCAGCGACCGATTGTCTTGGTTGCAGGCGAACATCGTCATCCCGTGCAAGACGTTCACCGAACGACCCCTCTGCTGCTGCAGAGCCTTGCGAGCGGCCGACTTGGCGGCTGCCCTGGTCGTGGCGGCCGTCGTCGTCTCGGCCATGCCAGCGGAGGGCGACCACAACTGGGACGCCGTCGTGCACCAGCCCTCGGCCACGCAGAGAGCGACCAGCACGAGGCAAAAGGCCGACCAGTCGCCGTCGAGCTCCGCATGGGCCTGCGAGAGACTGTTGAAGCGAGACTGCGAGGCCTTGCTGCCCTTGCTTCTCACGAACGACCTGTTTGGCAGGCTCTCCAGAAAAGCACGTCGCTCGGCCTCGTTGTTGTCCTCTTGCGAACGGCCTTGGTCCTCCAGAATGTCCGGAAAGAAAGTCAGCAGCAACGGATCCGAAGGGCTCATCGAACGACTCATCTCGTCCGCCATCGTCTGGACCTTGCCGAACCACGTGCCCTTGTTCCATGGGCCGTAGCGAACGTTGTAGAGGCCGATGGACACGAGGCCGAACGTCAGCAGACCGGCCGCCGCCATCGCGAGGTTCACGTCGTTGTGGGAACGGTGAGCCGGGTCGTTGACGTGCTCCACGAACAGCGAACGGCCGAACTTCAAGTAGTTCACGGCCGCCAACTGAGTGGCCTCCTGATCCGTGCAGAGGATCAAGACCCTCGGCCGGCCTGCCTCGCTCGTCCGTCGGAAGGACGAAAAGCCCCAGCCAACGACCGCGAGGCTGTGGGACATGTCTCGGAGCCACTCCTGAGTGGCCAGCCTCTCCGGCTCCTTGTAGCCGCCTGTGGTCTTCGCTGCCGAGCGACCTTTGGAGCCGGCCTTCTTGAAGAACTTCGTGATGCGGCCCTGCCACATGTCCGTCCAGTCGTCCGACGTGATGGCCGTCCCTTTCTTCACCTGTCACAGGCAAAACTTTGACTCCAAACTCTATAGAGATTCAGGCTTGGGGCCCCGGAGAGAAGTGTTGCTACAGGAAGAGTTCCTAAGGGCTCTGAATTGCTTCTCTAAAGGGCTAGGAATCCCAAAGCAACAACAGCAGCTGGATACTTTGCCCGCAAAAAAAGCACACATAGACTCTACTGCCTTACAATTGACGATACATACCTTACGGCACTGCTGTTGGTTTGCAGGATTGTGCTCCCTTTGTGATCAGAAGTTGCAGTCAGGACACAAAGCTTGGATGCTGTGAAAACCTTCTCCGACCTCATACCCGGAAGGCCAAAAAAGAGTCCATTTTTGGCCAAAAATGGACTCGTTTTGCTATACAAAAATTAGGCGGGGTTTGACGTATGGTTGTGCCGGGGATTCCTTAGGCTCGGTTTAGTGTATGGTTTTGCTAGGCGCGGTTTGCTGTATGGTTTTGGCTGGGAGCCCTGGCCTCTTGCTAGAAGGGAATGGCGGGGACCTGGCAAAACCGGGACCCTGGCGAAAAGCGAAAAAGGCAGGGTTTACTGTATGGTTTTTTAGGCGCGGTTTACTGTATGGTTTCTTAGGCGCGGTTTGCTGTATGGTCGACCTTAGGCGCGGTTTACTGTATGGTTTTATGAGGGCCCATTTACTGCAGAAATTTGCCAAAATACGCCTCCCAAAAGCATTGTCCAACCCTCTCAGTCTGCCTGTGGCGGGCAAAGGAAAGACACGTCCTCGCTTGTGTCGCAGAGGAAAACGTTCAGCCAGTCCTCCTGTCCCACGTGAACAGCATCAGCGACGACGCTGAGAACGGGAGCCTGTGCCAAAACCGAGCGACCAGCAGCGACGTAGGACAAACGCTCGGCCTCAAGGAACTTCGAGGGTCGTTCCCTGTTTCGTTTCGTCTCGGCCGCCCCCGAGCCCGAGGCGAAATGGCTCTGAGCCACGAGAGCCGCAGCGATCGATGGGCCTGCCTGTCCACCCGCATCCAAAATGGCTTCCTGGCAGCCGTGCGACGATCTGCGATACCCTCGGGCCGTCCTGCAAGGAAGAACTGCCATCCCTCACAAAAGATACCCAAAACCCTAAGAAAAAGCTGAAACGCACCTGAAACGCACCAGGAAAAAGCTGAAACGCACATCGACAACATTAAAGGGTCTTATAATTCGCTGGTTTAAGGGTTTAGGGCTTGCATTAACTAAATAACCCCATTTGCAAGACTTCCGGGTCCTTAGCTGGTCCAAGGCATCCACTCGAGTGGCCGTCCAGAGCGGTTTGCCGACAGTGTCGTCGATGCTCTCTGCGAGAGACCGGACGAAACGAGCGAACAGCTTCTCTGCCGCCCTCCGCCGGTCCTGACTCAAGCTCCTGCGAACGGCATCAGCTTGCAGGATTCTCACTACGGCGGCCTTGCTGGTTATGGACTTATAAGCCCGGTTATAACTACTTATCGTTACGTTTTTTCGATAGACTTATCGTGGGACTTATAAGTCACTTATGCGGGACTTATGAATAGCAATCTGCGAGGACTTTCCTGGTCAGTTTGCGAGGACTTTATGAGGGTTAAATTTGGTTCATTCCGAGGGTTATTTTGGTTTATGCGGATAGCCCAAACGCGACTTTTTTCTGCATGTCACGCGCATTTCCCCTGCACTTCGGTCTGCAAATTTCGATACAAATCGTGAGACATGCGCGGGTCCAGCCTCGCTACAAGCCTTGCACATATTCCTTGAGCCGGGTCCATGCCTCGGTCGTTCCAGACTTCCAAGAGAAGGCTTTGTCCTTTCTCTTTCCATGCAGCTTCACGCGCCAGTTGTGGCTCTTCGGGCATGTGTACACGGAGCATTTCTCCAGAGTGATGGGGTCGCGTGCCTCCGTGCTGCCCTTTGTCGGCAGCTTGTTCGTTGCGCTCTTGGCCTTGGTGGCCGTCTTGGGTTTCGGCTCTGCCTTCCTTTTGGAGGCTGCTTTGGGCACCTTGGCAGTTTTGCTCGGCTTCTCGTCCTTGTCGCTCGGACCCTTGCGCTTGTTCTGCAAGTGTTGGTTGACGAGTTCGGCCATGCGGTCCACGGACTCTTCGGCTTCTGGCGCAGCTGCGGTTTCTGGGGCAGGCAAGGCCAGCTGCGGCTGGTGCTGCAGTACGCGTGTGTCGGCGGCCGGTTTCTCTGCAGGGAGTTCCTCTGCAGGTGCTGCTTGGGAGTGACCTTCCTTTTCGGGACTTGAGCTGGCTGAAGCATTTTGCAAGGCCTTGGGTTGCTTTGCTTTGCGTGGCAGAAACGTGAGGCCCGGCAGTGGAGAGTCGTCTCCCTGCTTCTGAGCTGCTTGCAGCTGCATCTGCATCATCCACATCTGCTGTTGGAGCTGCGACGGCATGCCCTCAAACAGGCTTCGCGCACGCCTTGTTGCAAGCAGCGTAGCTTTCGACTTACGTGCGGGCAGCCAGTCTGCAAGTGCCAGCAGCTGGTCCTCGTCCAACGGGCAGCTTGCCGGGCCTTCCACAGCAAACGCAGCGTTGTACAGCTGTTGAGGCAGCTCTTGCGGTGCTTTTGGGTATTCTGACAACCCAGAGTGGGTTCCCCGCTTAGCCCAAGCCCGAAGTTTTACCTTGAGCTCCTCCAGCGTATTCAAGCCGTCCTGCGGTGAGACCTGCAGGGTCTCTGCTGGCCCTGCGTGCTGTGACAGGTACAACACAGCAACTCCGAGCACGTACGTACTCTCAGTCGGGTTGGTGAGGCCCATGGCCACAAGACGCTTCGCCAGCGTCTGCTGTTTTGCTTGGAAGGCAAAAGAGCCTTGCAGACTTTTCCAGTCCGACTCGCACAAGAAGTGGTGCAGGTACTTGTGGCACTGCTGGCCTTTTTTCGGCTTCTGGGCCCGTGCTTCTGGGTCAGCGGCCTCCGCATCTGGTGCTGCAACCTTGGCAGAAATTGCTTCAGCAATTGCGCTTTGCATGCCGGTGGGCAGGCCAGCCTTGCCCAGATGCTCCAGCATCGTCTGCGCAGCAGCCATGCTCACGGGCGGACCTATAGCTGCAGGTCTTTCAAGCACCCTCGCAACATTTTTTCTTGCGTTGCAGCAACAGTACTGCTTTCAGAAGTTGCTTTCAACGCTTGCAAAAATGCTAGCATTTCTTCAAAGCGCTTCGTGGCCATGCTGCTGCTTGTGGCACAGAGGGGAAGCCGCTCCTATGCCAGCCCAGCAAGGCAAAGCCTTTGCAGTTCTCGTTGCAAAAATTCAGCAGGGATTTGCCTCTGCTGCAGCCTCTATATATAGATATCATGTGAGCCCGAAACAGCCGCGTGTATGAGCTTGCATGATAACTGGGCAAAACAGGTGAAGTTTCCAGATTACTGCGGTGTCACCTTCTTATCGGCTTATAGTAGAGTTTACAGGGTTACAGGGTTTACAGGGATTTCTGGGTCTATAGGGTTTAGAGTATATAGGCAAATAACCATATGTTTATCTATGGAATACTTGCCATCACATTCCTGGAAGTTTTTTTGTCCGAAAACTCCAGTCGCCGACATCCGACACGGGAGACCAAAGATGGCCAAGCACGGAAAATTAAACAATTGCAGCAGGAAGCAAGAAAAAAAAACGCTATCAGGCATGCCTTGACAGCAAGAAGCATGCAGGAGCATGCTTTGCGCAGGCTATGGCAGGACAGCCTTGCCACAGACTGTTCACGAAGAGCTGCTGGACTTGATCCACTTGTTTGCCCGCCTCTTCTTTGGCTGGGGCTTCGAAGCCGCAGCGGATCTGGTCTGCGAGGCTTTCTTGGGCTGCTGCTGCATGCGCGTGGCCTGCACCTCACGGTTGCACGCAGCTGCAGCTGTGCTTCTGGAAGCGAGGGCCTCCTCGAACCTCTGAGCAGCCAAGGCAGCTTTCACAGAGGACTTCTCCGGCGCGCGGTCCAACTCGCTTTGCAGGTCGGGCTGGGACAGCTGCTGCAGCATTGGCGCAAGCACCGCGGCCACAAGCGGAACAGGGTAGGCATTTCCGGCCGCCTTCCTGCGCAAGCAGTCCGGGCTGCTTGCCAGCACGTCTTTCTTGAATCCTTGGAGGGTCAACCTCTCCGTGGAATCCAAGAACCTGAAGTACCGCCTTTTGTCGTCGGGCTTGCGCAGGCAGCCAACCGACACCAAGAACAGGTACATACCCGCGGTGGTGAGGGTCGGGACCATGTTCTTCTGGTAAACACGGGCGTACGTTTTTCCGCTCGCCCGATCCGCTGGGAAGCAGATGATGTCTTCGGCAGACAGCTCACCGCTATCCCACTTTTGCAACAGCTCGCGCTCTGCGTCCTTCAAGTTGCGGCGTATGCACGCTGTCACGGAGCTGCGGTTGACAGGAGGCAGGTTTGGCTTCAGAAACCCCTCAAGAGGCATTTCGCCCATGGGTGCCAGGGGGTTTGGAACCTCCCCAAAGCACCTCCGCAAACCACGCAAGAACACCCTTGTTCTCTTTTGCGCCAAGCGGAAGTCCTGTGCACGAAGCACCGCGACTTGCCAGTCGAAGTGCGGCACAGCCCGTCTGACCTCCTCCAACACCACATCCATGAAGGACGGGCCCTGCTTCGTCTTCTCCAGGATGCCACGGACATTTTCCAACACCACAGCATGGAGGCTGCCCATGGTGGCCATGTGCACGCAGTACTTCAGCACGCTTGTGAAAACGTCTGCTCGTGCATCCTGTGCTCCTCCCTTACCTAGAGAGCCCGGATGATCGCCTGGCGATGATCCAGAGCTCGAATGCTTCATGTGATAGCTATTTTGCGGTTCATGGATCATTTATGCTCATGATGTTCTGGATGCTCATGAATGCATAGGATCATAGCTCGCTGTATATACACCCACATATCGAGCAGATGTATGTCGATGTACAGCCATGCAAAATATGACTTTGACTGAGTGTGGCATGCAGCCGCTGTGCTTTTCAAAAAAAAGAAAAAGTGTTTAGGAGGTTTGGTTGGCCCCTAACTGCAAGTTTAGAAAACTCTACAATCCTTATCGCACTTGTGTCGCGACTACTGAAATATCTTTGCTGACAGAAACGAAGTGTGTGCGGATGGGAGCACGAAATCCGGCTGCTTGTCGGCCCGAGAGCGGATCCATGCCATGCCGGATCGGCCTGTCGTGGTCAAGCAAGAAGTGAAACAGGAGCAGCTGCCGAAAGTCCAGAAAACTATCGGCAAACGCTCCGGCCGAAGCGGGAAATCGGGCTGGAAGTCGTGGCGAGAGCGACAAGACCTGCGAAAAAACCTTGAAGAGGATAAGTCCAGGGTCGAGGTGGTGCGGCTTCGAGCCAAAGTAGAGGCGGCAGCTTCTGATTCTATCGTACCTCAAGCTCCCGCAGGTTCGCCGGACGTCGAGGCTGCAGCTTCGGGTTCTATCGTATATCAAGCTCCCACAGGTTTGCCGGACCCGTGGCCTCAAGCTGATCACGAGCCGATCCCACTTGCTTCTTTGGCCGCTCCTGTGGAAAGCTGCACTGTGCGGGATTCAGAGGTTCAAGCAGTTGCCGATAAGAAGGACGTGGACTGTCAGACGCCAGACTGGAGACATCCCAGATCCTACCTGTACGGCTTGCAGGTGATCACAACCCGTCCTCACTACATCAACGGAGTGGCGCCGACAGACGCGCCATCCCCGAACCCCCGAATCAGTAAAAACAGGCACCGTGCTGAGTCTTTGTCGCCTTCGAACAGGCCGGGACGGGTTAGTTTGCTGACCACTTCAGTGAAGCACTGGTAAAACATGCATGGCTTGTCTTCGTAATGCCGTTGCGGATCGGTGTGAATGGTTCGGTGATCCTGTCGTACAGCCGTGCTGCAAGGTGATCAGCTCGACATGTCGCGTGGACGGCATGCTGATGCTTCAAGCCAAAGGTGCCACCACCCATGGGTATTTGCTTCCAGTCTCTTGTACTCCGTGGTCTCGCATTTCACATGTCTGAACATTCTCTGTCGAAAGCAGTTCGTTTTTGCCGAAGCTTTGGTATGTCACGGTTCCAAGGCGAGGGCTGCTGCATACGTGATGCATGGTTGTTAAGTTACAAGTTACAGGTACGAGCTTTCAGATTGAACCCTGGTGCCTCGTGCGATGTCGCATCTAAACACATGTGAGCAGACACACTTTCAACACAGCAACCCACTAACACGTCGTTTGCAACGGTTGCCAGGGCTTTTTTTGCATCCGGCGTGCATGGCAGTCAGTCGCTCGAAGCGCAGCCGCAAGAGGCGGCGCACACTTAAGCAGCGGCAGCAGCAGATCTTCAGTCATGTAACTTCGACAGTGCCGTTTCTGATAACGGCAACCTTGCCATCGCCCATGGCAAAATTGTTCCTTGAGCCAAAGTCAGTTTGAGCCACTTGAGCCGTTTAGGATTAGGGTTTGACTTCTGGCTTTTTCCCTCCTACCTACCAAAGGGTTGGGGGTTTAGGGTTGGGGCTTTTCTGGGGCTGAAATTACAAGATAACATCGACTCCTAATGTATTGATTTTCCCCCTTAAGTGTTGGATACTCTGCCACAAGCTTTCCTTCATTAGCGATAGACACACAAAAGAGCACTAGCACTTGGAGATTCCGCAGGCACAGGATTCCGGGTTGTCAGTTCGCGAGTCTAGCTTGCTAAAGCTTTGGGAACTGGATGCGGGCTACACTGCTTTAAACTGCCAGTCCGATCGATTGTTGAATAGGATTCGGTGAACATTCAGAGCTGGATTGTGACCGATTTTCTTTTAAATTACTTATGATGAAGCTTTGGGGCACCGACAAAGTTTGGGCACATGGTCAGGGATATTATTATAAAGGGTGTGCATAACTAGCCAATCCCAGGCTGCAACTGATGATGTTCGCCGGGCTCCCGTACTCCATTCTGCACATCACCGAGAAAGTGATGGCAAATATGAGTCACACGAGTTTGGCCGCTTGGGTGCAGCTAGTTTCAGTGTACACAGCGGATCGCTGTTCAAACGATGCCTGTCAGTACTCAGGGCCTACACGCCGTGGAGTGTTTTGCTGGTGCAAAGACAATCGCCTCTGCTTTTGCGTGCCCGGGCTAAAGAGTTGGCTTGCATCCAGTGCCGGCTTCCAGTGTCCATGTCATGCATATATGCTACCGAGGGCTGAGGGCCGAGCATCGGCCTCTTTTGAGATGGAGGATTCGCCTATATATGAAAACATCCTCACGGGCCTTGGGTTCAGCTTTGGCTTGGCTTTGATGCTTCGGCTGTTCAAGTGCGCTACTCGCTTGCAAACAATCGCGTCATGTGTTAAAGCTGTTTCCGCCGAAACTAGAATTACGAGAACGATGCTTTCTCAGGTGGGAATGCAGTGGAACGCTCCGGTTTGCAGCAGCTGGGTATGGGTGAGCAGGTCGGAACTCGACACGATCAGTCAAATTAGCTAGATTGTGACCCGAGTTTTGCCCTGAAGGAGCTCATGCAAACGATCCCGTATCGAGCCCCTTGGAGATTCAAGATGCTCAGGGGTGCGAGATGCGAGCCTTGGTTGCACATGGGTCCGGTGAGTGCAGGCATGAATTGTGCATTAAAGTCGTTGGGTTGTGATGGCAGCGTGATCAAGCGCCGACAGCTAGCTGTGAAGTGCCATGTCGGACATCGAATCCGAAGACGCTGCCCAACACCTGTTGGGCTTGAGAGAAGTGGGGGCGCAGCTTGCAATTCGCATGCCGGATGCAATTGAAGAAGCTGTTTGCACAAGTTTGGGAGAGCCCCAGCGGGCCCATCTCATCGAGCCTCTCAAGAACAAGCCGGAACAGGATGTGACCCCCGGCTTAAATTTGTCCCTGGGACCACGAGTGGAGATTGTTGTAGCTGTGTGTGTGTGTGTGGGGTTGTACAGGTTTTGCCGCCGGTGCTTTGAATGTTGATGTAAGGAAGGACCATGAGTGGATGCTCAATGTACTCCTTGAGTTTGAGCAGTTCACGCAGCGGCCCCCATCACCTCTGGAAGCACGGGTGATTTTGGAATCGCTGAATGAGAAGAAGAAGGCTCCAGTGAGTGTATCGGTGTTTGTGTGTGTGTGTGTGTCCGTGTGTTGCCGTGTTCTTCTGCATGATTGCACGTGTGCGTGTGTGGATGAGTCGGGTGAAAGAGGATATGTGATAGGATTGAAAGACAGAGAGAGAGAGAGAGGGGAAACAAAAAGAGCAAGAGCGAGAGAGACAGAGTGAGAGAGATCCAAACACAAAAGAAATGTTTGCGAGTGCACAAGTGTGGGCTTGTGTGCATCAGAGAATGAAGTGTAGATTCTAGCTTTCAGGATAAGAACCGGATGAGTTAGTGATTGAGGTGGTGTGACTGACTGAGTGCGGAGTGGAGTGATGCCTGAGAGTTCTGGTGCCAACACTTTCAAGTGATCACAAAGAGAGCCTGAGCGAGACGTTCCAAGATGCATGCGCAGGGTCTGGCCATACGGGCCTCGGATGGTGTCGTGGCTTGGCTGCCAAGTTTGTTTGTGCCAGGGACCAGCCGTTCACGTAAACCCAATTGAGTGTAATTCATTCTTGTGTCTCCATCAGGACCTGGATACTGAAATGGACGCGCAGATCTACAGAATGAAGCAGCTTTGGAGTAAGCTCAGGAAGATGTGGTCTAACTCCCGCGAAGCATCGAGGACAGATTGGCTCCAGGCCCTCAAAGATCGCATGAAACCGAACCCGAAGGACCAATTGTGTCAGTTGCAAGATTCCGGTCACGACTCGAGACAGCAAGTGAGCATGCGATTCAGTCCGCAAGCCAGGACAAGAAGCCCGAGTGCGCGGACAATCCGAAGGGCTCCGGCGACGGCTGCGCCGAGGGCTCCGGCGACGGCTGCGCCGAGGGCTCCGCCGACGGCTCCGACGACGGATCCGCCGACGGCTCTGATGAGGAGGGCGAGGAAGAGGTTTCCAGCTGTGGTGATGCGATTGTGATGCCGTCGCCGTTGCCTGAGAACAATGACGATGAAGCCGGCGCTCCCCCTGCCAACCAGTCCTCGTCTGAGGACGACGAAGTTTCGTCTCCAGAGTGGGTTGGGTGTTGCCAAAATAGGTTGCAGTTTGGATTTTCTGGGCCTAATCTAGGGACAGATTTGCGAACTGATGTGCCTGTGACAGGTGTCGCGAGCACTGCTGCCACACAGCTCATGCGACAGCGAAGCGACGTTGGTTTTGGGGGCAGATTTGGGCAACGGGAATCAGTTGGCCGAGGTCCTTCCCGACAGCCCGCCTGGCTTTGACTCCGCAGTGCAGGAACTGATGGCGAGCCCGCCGGCGGTTCCGGAAGGAGGCCGATAGAGGGCAGGTGAGTAGGAGTTTGCGTGGAGTTGATGGGTGGGGTGGTTCGGGAGGGCATCTCTCTCCCTGGCTTGCTGCTGCTTTTTTTTTTCTCTCTCTCTCTCTCTCTCTCTCTCTCTCTCTCTCTCTCTCTCTCTCTCTCTCCCTCTCTCTCTCTGTCTTTCTTTCTTTCTCTCACTCCCTCTCCCTCTCCGCTCGCTCTCGCTCTCGCTCTCGCTCTCGCTCTCGCTCTCGCTCTCGCTCTCGCTCTCGCTCTCGCTCTCGCTCTCTCTCTCTCTCTCGCTCTCTCTCTCTCTCTCTCTCTCTCTCTCTCTCTCTCTCTCTCTCTCTCTCGCTCTCTCTCTCTCTCTCTCTAGCTCCAAGGGTTATCGTTGAACATTTCGGGTTTACGGGTTACGGTATAGGGTATAGTATAGTCCCCTTTGTGTGACGCGTTCATGCAGGTGAAAAAGCCAAGCCCGGAGCCAAAAAGAAGAACAAGCGGGGCAAGAAGGGTAAGAAGAGCAAGAAAGCGAAGAAGAACACCGCCATCGTGCCGGCGCCCACTGGTGTTGGTGAGGATGGACCCCGTGCTGGGCCCGCTGACGTTGGTGAGAATGGACCCGTGAACCACCCCCAGCCCCACCTCAAGCGCAAGGGTGTCCTGGCTAAGATGCACATTGCCGGGCACGCACATGAAGCAGTTGCATGTCTCTTGTTGTTTGTCGATCGAGTGAATCATCAAAGGTGCTTTCATCGAGACTTCGGGGTTGGGTGAGGACGACTACAACTGCGACAACCCGGTGAATGCAGAGATCTTGGAGAGCTTCGAGGAATGCTATCGGCCCAACATCAACGTGATTCCCAACAAGCTCAAGCCGGACAGCACCCACCACGGAAAGCACAGCTACACGAAGAGCCTTGGCATGCGAGTCAGGAGATGCACAGTTATGCTTAGCTACAGTTGTCAAAACAACTTTTCTTGTATTCCTGAGGGTGTTCCAAATTCGCGGCGTGACCCACAGAGTCGAGATCCTGTTACGACAACAAGCGTTCAAGCCGAAAACCAATGGCATCAAGGCCGGTTCGAGCCTGGGACAGCATTTGGTCGTGTTTGCATGTGGCCGAGCTAGGTAGATGCCCTGATATGATTGAGTGTGATTTATAAGGATCACATGGAAGAACCAGTCCATGCGAGACGCTTTCAAGAAGCTCGTGGACTATCTGAACTCCGTGCCATGAGCGCTTGGACTATCTGAACTCCGGGCCATGCATGAGCGCAGAGATTTTGAGCCTATCAGGCTTTCAAGGTCGGAAAACAATGAGCCGTCGAGTTAAGTTTCATGCGCTTTGCGAGTAGCTGCCTGCATCAAATCACAAGTCAGCCAGGATCTGTATAATGCTTGTTGATTTGCCAACCAAGAAACTTGATGGTTTCGAGA